ATGGAGCTGAGAAATATCTGCCCAAGGTCACCCACCTGTTCCAAGGTCGAAGTCACAAATTTTGGAGTTGGGCAGACCTTGGTCTCCCCTCTAGCTCAGGGGAGACCCTAGCTCGGAGGCCCTAGGCAGAGCTTAAGTGGGGGTAAGAGCCCCTCCCGCTCAGTAGCTGCTGGTGATGCCCATGAAGAGGGACCCGAGCCTCTCCCCTGCCTCTTCTGTTCTGCAGTCAGGAGGGAAAGAGCCACCGATCTGTTGTCCCCAGCCTGGACCAGGCGTCCTGGGAGGAGGAGAAAGTGCCCGGGAAACACGGGGAGGGGGTTGCTCAGCAGGAGGGGGGGCAAAGAGTTCCCACGTGTGCCCCGGTGGGAGCAGGTGTGGAAGGCAGGAGAGGGACTGCAGTCTGCCGGCCAGGGACAGGGACAGAGCTTCAGCTTTAGAGTCAGGCCACCTGAAGCTCTTTGGGCTCCAGCTTCCAGATGTGGGAAACGGAACGAGGACAACTCTGTGTCTGGATTATCCTGCGGCCCCTGGGGGCAGTGGGCCCAGCTGGAGGGGTGCCATTCCAGAGTGCTTCCAGGAGCTGACCTCCACTGGCCTTTCTGGACCCTGAGTTCGTTAACGATCCTGTCATGTTAAGGATGGTGACGGCAGGCAATGTCCGAGTCAGCCTAGGAATCCCGCAGATTCCAGGCTCGCTGTGCCAGGAACGTGGCCCAGAGACACTGCCAAGGGTGGCCCAGGACTTGACAGTTTCCAAGCCCTCCCACCTCGTGGCCTTGCGTCCCGTGCTAAGACAGGTTCTCTGCTTTCTTTCACTCCTTCAGGATCCCTCCACATAGGTGCTGCCATGACCTTCGTTTCTCAGATGAGGAAACTGAGGTTCAGAGAGGTCTTGGGACTTGCTAAAGACTTCACAGCCAGCGGGGGCCAGAGCTGGGTCTGGAGCTCAAATGGCCTCTTCCCAGGCTGGCCTCTGAGTGAAGCCATGGACATAAAGCAAGTTGGAGGCTGGGAAGAGGGACCCTGGGCTCCCCTGGCCACTCCTGCGTGACCTCTGTTCCTCCCAGCCCTCCGGGAAGTGGCTGAGGGGTCCGGGGAGAGGTGGGATGGGTGCTGAGCCCGAGGGAGGCGCAGGGCCCAGGCCAGGAAGGCAGGGAGGAGAGGGGAACGGAACACCCGCTCCTCCCTGGAGCAGCTGAGGGCAGAGATAAAGGCCTGGGGAGACTAGCAGGGCCAAGATGGGGAGGAAGGGAAGAGGCCGCGGGCGGAAGGAACAGCTGCACAGGGAGGAAGAGTCCCCAGTCCCGAGGGAGAGGCCGGGGTGGGCTGGGGTGGGCTGGGGCTCTGTGTCCCAGGCCCCAGCCTCCGCAGCTTCAGCAGGTGGCAGGACCCTGCACTGGGCAGGGGCCTTCCCTCGTCCACGCAGGGGCCACTGCGCCGAGCCAGGCTTCTGATCCTCGGGGTCCAGCGGAATGACCAGGTGAGCCACAGCACGGTGTCGGACACTCACTCATCCATTCATCCAACACAATCCGTGGCGAGCTCTCAACTTGCCATTTGGGTGCCCAACAGGAAACGAAGTCCCTTGAAGAGGGCCTAACTCCTTCTCCAAGGAGCCTGCAGTCTCATGGGAGAGGTGGACAAACACTGGAAAGTGAATCAACATTCTGTGTCACTCAGGGTTGGAAAGCTGGGCAGGGGATGTGACTGGCTGGAGCGGTGCTGGTTTTGAAGATGGCCAGCGAGGGTCTATCTGAGAAGGTGACATTGGAGCAGAGATCTAGTAAGAGGTGAGGTGGCAGCTATGTGAGCCTGGGGGAAGAGGGTTTCTGGCAGAGGAAACAGCAAGTGCAAAGGCCCTGCGGCATAAATAGGCCTGACAGGGAGTAGGGAGAGGGCAGAGTGGGGAGGCCAGTGCAGCTGGTGGCTGGTGAGAGGAAGGTAATGAAGAGGAGAGCAGATGGGATGGGGGTCAGGGGAGTCGATTCTGTGGGGTCTTAAAGTCTACTGCAGGGACTTCAGCTGTTTCTCACCAGCCACCGACACCAGAGGCTTTTGAGCAGAGGAATGTGTGAGAGAGACTGGGTCTTATCAGGATCACTCTAATTCCCTGGCTGCCTCTGGAGAATGGGACTGGCCAGGGCGGCAGCGGGGAGCCCAGCAGAAAAGCTGGTGCAGCTGGCCAGTGGGGGCGGCAGCTTGGTCAACAATCTGGGGTGTTAAATTCCAGCAGAAACAAAAACACTTCTATATCGCCTGCTTGCAATGGGTCGGCACTATTTTAAGAACTTGATATTTAATATTCTTTTAATCCTCAATACAGCTTTTAGGTAGACTTAAAAATTGTGTATCTATGTCTATTTGTATCCCACCGTCTTTTAAAAATTGAGGTGAAATTCACGTCCCACAAATCAACCCCTTTATAGTGTAAGATTCAGTGGCATTTAATAAATCCTCAAGACTGGGGAGCCACCTCTCCATCTAGCTCCAAAACCTTTCCTCACCCCCAAAGAAAACTCCGTATCCGTTAAGGGTAGATACATAGTATTTTTATCTGCATTTTACAGATGAATAAGCAGAGGCAAGGCCAAGAAGTCACATGCCCCAGGTCACACAGCCAGGAAATGGAACAAGCCAGCCATGGGGGTTGGCAGGGACATGTGGACAAGTTGTCAAGGATGGGTTTGAGCCCCTTTTGGGACCCCCAGATAGCTCCGCAGAGCTGCCTTCTAGGGAGGGGAGGTCTGCATCGCTTGCTGGGTTCCTGTTTTATGTAAGGGTGTGGGACACTCGAGGCCAGAGAAAAGAAACCATCAAGAGGGCTGCGTTGCGGGACAGGCATGGTGGTGTGCAGGTGCATACCTGGAATCCCAGCAATGTGGGAGGCTGAGGCAAGTTTGGGGCAACTTAGCAAGACCCTGTCTCAAAATAAAAAAAATAAAAATAAAAAGGGCTGGGGATGTGGCTCAGTGATAAACTGCCCTTGGATTCAATTCCTGGTCCCAACCTGGGGGGCAGGGGAGAAGGCTGCACTATGACCCCAGCATCTTCCTCCAGGGTGGCATGGGGTAGGGATGGGGGTCTGGAACCAGGCTGTTGGACCCAGTTCCTTTCTCCCACCTGCTGGCTGCACTATCCTGGGCTAGACCTCCCTTCTCCCACCTTTTCCCTTTTCTGTCAGGTTGAAATAAGAAGTACACACTCCTCATTGGATGTTGGGAGAACGTGCGTTACCTGTGCGTAAAGCTGAGCGCGGCCGTGGAGGAGCTCGCCTTCCCCTTGCAGCTCCCCTCCCACCCCTGGAGAAAAATTAACCAGATAGTTAAATGCAACCTTGGTGTTGGGCCTCACAAGTCAGCTGGGATGAGGTATGTACGCTCTGGCACCAGAAAGAAGGCAGTCATAGGATTCTCAAGTTGGAAAGACAGCGCCAGTTTTTAAAGCTCAACTGTGTCAGGATATAGCCAACATCAAATCAAAGGCACCCATTTTTTCCTGTTTTAAGTGTACCTTTTCATAAGGGTTTTATTGGTACCGGGGACTGAACCCAGGGGCACTTAACCACTCAGCACATCCCCACCCCCCCCCCCCCCCCCCCCCCCCTGTTATTTATTTGGACAGGATCTCACTAAGTTGCTGAGGCTGACCTTGACCTTGGAGTCCTCCAGTCTCAGCCTCCCAGAGCCCCTGGGATTACAGATGTCACAACTGGAGACCCTTTAGTAGAGGGGCTGGGAAGGCCAAGGACACCCCCTTCTGGCTGAAGTCACAGGCCCCCTAGACGGCAGCTCCAGCCTCAGGCCAGCACCTTCTCCGGATGGGACACCCCTTCTGGCAGATCAGGACCTAGACAGAGTGTCTGGGTGCTCTCACCGGGTCCTCCAAATCCATTTCTGTTTGACTCAACTCGCTGGGTCCCGAGGGCCCAGTTCTCTACCCTGGAGACTGGAGATGGGGCCAGCCCCTGCCCAGGCATCAGTGGAACGTGCGCTCTGGGTGGGAGAGAGGAGGGCGAGGGTGAGGCCGGAGGAACGTGTGAGGCTGTGCGTGCGTGTGGAGCGGAGTTCCCTGCGCTCAGCCAGGCATCTGGACTAATGGTCCATTTCCCCTGGTCCACGGGCCTCCGCCGGGCCCCCAGCTGCCCCGATGGGCCAGGTCAGCCCCCACAACAGGAGCCCCCAGCCGCTCCCCATTCGGCTTTCCTTGTATTGTGCGCAGCCTGGTTCCTCGAGGAAATGGGGCGGCTGCTGGGTGCGGGGGCGGCCGCCAGCAGCCCCACCCCCTTCCCCCCATTGTCACTCCTGGCTGCGGCCCCTGGCCCCTGCTGTCCACTCTAAAAATAGTCCTGTTCACAGGGAGCCAGCCCCACCCCTGAGCACTGGGCGTGGGGTTGGGGTTGCCAGGACAGAACTACCCTGGGGACCAAGGTGTCCCCTCCAAGTGACCAGGGTCAAAGCGTGTGAGGGCTGTGTGACCATAGGCCTCGATATTTTCCTCCTGGAGCTCAACTTCCTCAGCTGTGAAATGGCGACAAGGCTACCTAGCTGCGGAGGGCTCTGTTCTTGTCCTGCTGGTGGTGGGTGCTGCCTGAGCACCCCAAGAACCAAGCAGAGGGTGTAACATAACTTTACCTTCCTCCTAACTAGGGTGGGTGCCCAGGATCTCTAGTTCCCTCGCAGGGGAGCTGGAGGGGCCCCTTTGCAGATCTGCTGGGACAGGTACCTGTTCCCCATCCTCAGATCTGCAAGCTCTCCTGTGGATTATGAGGCCAGGTTGGGGCCCGAACCCATGTCTCCGGCCTCTGAGGGCTGTGTTTTTTCCGCTTCAAGGGGCTGCCACCATCTGATGACTCCAAGGACTTCCTGGCTGGGGTAACCCTGCCTTTCAGTCCACAAACACATGATTCATCACGAAGGAAGATGCAGGGCAGTAGGTGTTGGGGGCTGGGCAGGGCCCCTGCAGCCTTTGCAGATGACCAGCTGGTCTCAGATGGCGGGAGGTCGTGGGGTTGGGCCTTGGGAAGGAGCTTGCCCTGGGACCTGTCTGTCTCCCAGCCTCTTTTTCTCTCTCTTCCTTTGTTCTTTTAAACTCTGACCCTATTACACACGTGAATTCTTTTTATCAAAATCTTGAACATGTAGAATTTCTTTTCTGTGGTCACAGTTGCAGTTTTACATGTGTCCGGGTGATTCTCTGTGTTCCCCACCAATCGTGGGTTCTAGAGTGGATGAAGACTAGCATTTTTATTAATTCCTGTTTCCCCCCAACAAGGACTAACAAATGTATTTTCCCACACAAATCTTAAGAACCTGCAAGTTTGTCTCTACCGCTTATATTTTTTGGGGGGGGGGCTTGTGGGGACCCTTGTCATCGAGATTTGCTGTCAATCTTGTTCATGGGACTTTGGTTTTGCTACCTTATTGCTTTGCACGTTCTTACATGGGGACTTGGAAAGATACAAAACCTGTTTTATACCACAGCCCCTGCCGTGCTCCCCAGAACCTCATGAAAAATGTCAGCACTCAGACGTCCAGTGATGGTTCTCCTTGGAGCCCAGAGATGACCTTGGTGCCAGTTTGGGGCTCCTTGATGTATTTCATGTGTATCTAGCAAACTCAGGACCCAGCCCCGTTCTTACACAAAGAACAGTTGGCCATACACGCTGCTTTGCTTCTTGCTTTTTGTATTGCGTTAACAGAGTGCGTGACTATTTTCCAGATTAATGTACCTAGTACTTTCCCATTTAAAAATAAAAATGGCTGTTCGTAAAGTGGGATGTTTAAATTTTTTTCCTGGGAACTTCTCTGCCACCTGGTGAAAGGATGGACTCCTTATCATCACAGTATTTTAAATGCATAAAATACAGTTCATACCATTCTGAAGGAAGCCAATAATGTTGAAATGCTATTACTACAATATTGTTTTTATTTTACTTTACTTTTTGGTGCTAGGGAGGGAATCCAGGGCCCTCCACCTGTTAAGCACGTGCTCTCCACTGAGCTACATTCGCAGCCCTGATTGTTGTAATATTAACTGGGGTGTGCTACGCGGTGATACGTGAGCTTCTTCATTTTTTTTTTCCTCCAGTATTGAGGGTTGAACCTGCAGGTGCTTTCCCATGGAGTCACATCCCCAGCCCTTTTTATGTTTCACTTTAAGACAGGGTCTTGCTAAGTTGCCCAGGCTGCCCTTGAACTTGCAATCCTCCTGCCTCAGCCTCCCTACTCTCTGGGATTCCAGGTGAGCCTTTGGCTACAGGAGCCTCTTAATCAGCATATAGAAAGGAAGAGGTCCTCAGCAGTAGGATGTGGAGGGTCTCCCACCCCTGGGTTGTGGAACTAAAGTATCTTGGCTTCTGACAGAACCACTGCCAACCCTGTCGTGACTCATGTGGTTCACATTCATATTGAAGGAAGTGCTAAATTTCAGTGAGAAGTTAGTGAATATAAAGTTTTTACCAGGCATGTGGCACACATCTGTGATCCCAACAAGTAAGGAGGCTGAGACAGGAGGATCACAAGTTCGAGGCTATCCTCAGCCACTTAGTGAGACCCTGTCTCAAAATTAAAAAATTTAAAAAGGACTGGGAATGTGGTTCAGCGGTTAAGCACCCCTGGGCTCAATCCCCGGTACCAAGAAAGTAAAATTAAATAAAAACAAAGTTATTATTTTTCTCCCCTTCCAACTTCATAGAGTCCCTGAGTTCAAGAACCCATGCTGAAAAATGTGTCAGTCCCTCCCTCTCTTTTATTGATATATTTCTTTAGGGAGATACTGGGATTGAACCCAGGGGTGCTTAACCACTGAGTCACATCCCCAGTCCTTTTTATTTAGAGACACGGTCTCGCTGAGTTGCTTAGGGCCTCACTAAGTTGCTGAGGCTGGCTCTGAACTTACAATCCTCCTGCCTCAGCCTCCTGAGGCGCTGGGATGACAGGCATGCACTGTCCCTCTCTGAATTCAACCCGTCTGTCGTGGAGAAGTCTCAGCATTTCCCCCAGTCTTATCTTGGTGCAGAGCTGGGGAAGCCTGACAGTGGACTTGGATCATCCTGCCCTGCGGGTGGCAGAGCCTCGTGCCCACTCCCGGCTGGGTTATTCCCCGGCTCTCCCGACCAGCCCAGTGGCAGGGAGCTCAGCTCACTGGCCAGCCAGGAGCAGGTTGGCAGCTGGTGTCCTGTCCCAGGAGTGACCCTGCCCCGCCCTGGTTGCACAGCTGTGGATGTGACAGGACCTTTGGCTCCGGTTCACCCCGGCACATTCCTGGCCCAGCCACTGTTTTTTTTTTTTTTTTTGATGACTTTTTCTCCCACACCCCTCCCACCCCTTTTCCTCAAAAATGCTGTGTCTTTCCCCAGAGGGTTCCTCTGGGCGGCGGCTCCGGGGAGGGAAATGTGGCCTGGATTTCCTGGAACACATGGAGCTGGAGTCCCGTGACGGGAGGAGGGAAGCCACCAGCAGCCAGGGACCCCCTCCCAACATCGCTGGGCCTCGCTGGAGAAGGGGACATGTCCCCACGTTCCCATTCCACCGGGCCCTCTGCTTGCAGGCTAGTGACTGCGCCCCTGGAGAATCTCAGCTCCGGAGCCCTCTGAGCTCTCGAAAGTTGAGAGCCGTGAACAGGGTTTGCTAAGGCTGGTGGGACGGTCCAGCGAGGCCATGAGGGTGCATGGCCCTTCCCAGACCGGGGGCAGCTGGGGATGCCTGTTTTGGGTCGCCTTGGGGACAGGACTAAAAACTTTCTTCCTTCCTTCATTCATGCGACAAATATTTGTTGGATCACGATATTGTGCCCCCAGGAGTTCACAGACGCAAACACACAAACCCCTTCCCCATGGGCAGTACTCCAAGGAAAGAGAAACCAGGGGCAGGGTAATGGTCCTGAGGTGCTAGGGAGGCCTCTGGGCGGTGACAGAGGGAGCAGTCCAAGGTGGGGAAAGGGCTGGGTGCAGTGGTGCAGGCCAGTAATCCCAGCAGCTCAGGAGGCTGAGGCAGGAGGATTGAGAGTTCAAAGCCAGCCTCAGCAACTCAGCAAGACCCTAAGCAACTCAGTGAGACCCTATCTCTAAAAAAAGTACAAAATAGGGCTGTGGATATGGCTCAGTGGTTGAGTGTCCCTGAGTTTAATCCCTAGTTGGCCCCCCCAAAAAAGAAAGGCGGGGGAAGGAAAGGGCTGGGGGCTCTGGGGCCACACAGGGGCTCTGGCTCCATTGATGGGAAGCCCAAGGGCTCTTGAGCCAGCACTGATACAGCTATAACACAACCCGCTGTGGTGGGGGGGAGACCCACGGGTGGTGGACCTGTGGAGCAGGGCTCTGAGGTCAGCTTGGCACCTGGATGCTGCTCCTCCCCAGGTCTATAGATGGGATGTGAGGCCTTGTGTCTTTGAGCCTCCGTTTCCCCCTTGGTCAAGTGAGCTCAGAGCTGGACTTGGTGAATCACACCTGATGTTTCAGTGACTCAGAAGGCCAAGGCAGGAGGATCACAAGCAACTTGGCCAGACTCTGTCTCAAAAAATAAAATTGTGGGGGATGTAGCTGAGTGGTCGAGTACTCCTCAGTGCAATCTCTAGTACCAGATAAATAAATAGTAAGGGTGCTCGTGGCACTCTGGTGATTGGTAGGAAGGGCACGGCCACAGCCCTCCATGAGTGGGAGTTGCTCTTGCTTTTCTTTTTGGTACTGGGGATTGAACCTAGAGACACTTAACCACTGAGCCACATGCCCAGCCCTTTTTATTTATTTATTTTTGAGACAGGGTCTCATTAAGATGTTTAGGGCCTCGCCAAGTTGCTGAGGCTGGCTTTGCAACTCTAGTTCTTCCTGCCTCAGCCTCCTAACCTGCTGGGGTGACAGGTGTGCGCTGCACTGAGCCCAGCTGGGAGCCACTCTCTCTAGACCCTCCTAGGAGTGGAGCCACTTTCTGGGGCAGAGTCAAAAGCTAGTCTTCAGCCCACATTAGGCCAGTGGCTGTGTAGATTTGCATGACATCAGGGGCCAGATCTGCAGTGGAGCTATCCCTGAATTGTCTGCAGCCCTCTTTCCTTTCTGGGCCCATAGATCGATTTTAGGGAACCCCTTGGGCGAGAGAAGGGACAGGGTAGAAAGAGACCAGGGTGTTGAGTTTCTCTGAGGTCTCAAAATGCCCTGCCAATCACCCTGCCTTCCCCAGAGGTGGCTGGGGACCACCCAGTTTGGAGCTGGTTCTCCTTTTCTCTTTCCCCTGAACGAAGCCTCAGTTTCCCCATCTGTCAGGTGGGCAAGCAGGCCCTCACCCTGCTGGACAGAGAGGTTTGTCATGCAGAATATGCTCGGACAGGACCCTGCCCTCCCGAAGGAGGGCCCCGCCTGCCCAGGCACTGGGCTAAGAGCCTCCAAGTATTAGCTGACAGCAGGTGCCATCCGGCCACTCCACTGGACTGAACAGTGGTGGCTTTCCTTTGCCTCCAGTTAAAGAACAGTCCTCTGCAGGGGTGGATGGGTGTGGCAGTGAGGTCTGGCTCTGCCCACCTCACAAGCCAGACAGCGTCCCTGCTCTCTGTGTCCTTAAGAACAGGCCTCCTGGACCCACCTCAGTACCCCCAACTTCGTTCCTGGCTCAGGGCAATTACACGGCTCCTGGGACACTTTCCCCTTGGCCGAGGAATCTCTCTGCTCAGCTCCATCAAAGTCCTCTTGCCAGTAGACGCCCACCCTGACCTGCAGACTGGGTTGGGTCTCATGCTACACATCCCCTCTCTGCTGCCACCTCCTCTCCTGATGACACCTGTCACTTGTGATTTCACTTGGTGTCTCACTGCCACGACCAGGTTGCTGACTCCCTCCACGTCAGGACTGTGTGTCCCATGAGGGCAGAGATGTTTTCTCCCTCACAGCTGTATCCCCAACATCCAGCGCAGTGCCTGCACCTAGTACGTGCTCAATAAATGCTTTTGGGTGAATGGAAGAATGATGTCCTCTTGACAACCTGAGGATCCTCCTTTACAGATGAGGAACGGAAGGCACAGAGAAGGCAGGTGACCTGTCTCCAGGTCACACAGTCACAGTCAGAACCAGAGGGTCTCTGCTGGGGGTGTCTCCCTGTAAGCTGGGCCCAGAGGGTGGGCAGTTGGGGTTATCTGGGGAGGAGCTAGGACCATCTGGACGGAGCCCCACCCATCCGTGTTTTCTCCACGCAGATGGCGATTTGTGGCTGTTTTCCTCAAGGGCGACTCAGGTGACCTTCAGGTTGGGGCCCGCTGGGTCCCTAGGGCCTGCTGGGCGGAGGGCCCAGTCTGGCGGGGCTGCCTTCCTCGCCCCTTTGCCCACCCGCTGGCTTCACGCACAGATTACAACTTCCCCTCCTCGGCTGTCTTACGCAGGCCACCTCCGGCTCGCCATTGTCTCATTGTTTGCCGAGGGAAGCGCCAGGAGGAAATTAACCCGCTGCTCACCCCAGCAGCGAGTTTCACCCCCAGTCCCCGCTGGGAACGCCTGGGGGCGGGGCGGGGCTGGGGGCGGCGGCCACCGGGCAGGGGCACGGCCAGGGGGGCTGCCTGCTCCGAGGGCCTGGCCTGCACGTGGGGGAACTGGAGATTCCATGGGAGGGGGACAGGGATCTTGTCCTTAGGGACCCTGAGCAGGAGATTCCCAGACAAATGCCTCAGGGCCAGGCAGGTGACAGAAATCTGAATACGTGCAAGCAACAGGGAGTGGTGGGGCATATGGCAAAGTGTGGCTACATAGATCTTCCAAAGGCCTTTAGATTCAGATTTTATTTCAATATGGTGTTA